CTGGGAATGACAAATTGAAGAGGAATGGTGTATGTTCTGGTTACCTAATGCCACTCTGACAGAAATATATCACAGATGGGATGGCCTTAACAAACAGGAGTTTATTCTCATACAGTTTGGAGGCTTTAAGTCCAAGTTCAAGTTCCAGACTCTTGGGGCTGGGTGAAAGCCCCTCAATCTTGGGGTCCAGCTCTGCCTCCTGCTCCTGTCCCACTGGAGCTAGAGGCATTCTTTCACTTAGGCAGCTTCTGGCTGCTGAGGTTGACAAACCCAAGGTTGACAAGTAAAAAGGCACAGTCCTGATGTTACCAAACCACCTGGCAGGCCATTAATTTAAGTCTATTGTAAGTCCCAAGGTCGGCAGAGCATGGCAGGCTGCTGAACAACAACATGGCTACATGCAGGGTCCAAGTGTGCCATAAGCTAGAGACTATCCCCAACGCTTCTCCTTATATACAGGAAGCAGACCATATCCCAAAGGCAGCTACTCAGCTGCTTGTGGTAGATCCCACCATGGAGTTGATTGCCAGTCTCATCATGGAAAATAACTACCACCAGCTGCCCAACTACTCAACCAGGCCCAGCCAAGTTGACATACAAATTTAACTACCACAATTCCACCCCTTGTCAACTTGGCACCTGTACAGATCTTCATTGCATGTAGCTATGTCATTGTTCAGCAGCTTGCCATACTCTGCTGACCTTGGGACTTACAATGGACTTAAATTAATGGCCTGCCTTGTGGTTTGGTAACATTGGGACTGTGCCTTTTTACTTGTCAACCTTGGGTTTGTCAGTCCCTGCAGCTGTGTGAGTCTGAAAAAGCCTCCAGCTTGATGTTTGATCCAAGAAATTGGGACTTGCCAACTTCTATAAGTGTGTGAGCCATTTTCCTAAGATAAAATTCTCTTTTTTCTCTCTATATAAAAGCTGGGAGCTCTGGTAGTGTAATTCCTAGGGCACTTGACTGCTAACCAGAAGGCTGGCAGTTCAAACTCATCAGCCACTCCTCAGAAGGAAGGTTGGGCAATCTACTTCCATAGTGATACTGCCTCAGAAACCCAAGGAGGGGTCTCTATGTGTCGGGTCCCACTTGATGGCACATAACAACAACAACAACATATAAAAGCTTTACTGGTTTTACTTCTCTAGAGAGACCAGCCTAACACAGTGTGGCATTCATCCTCACAAAAGATGTTTCAAGATCTGTCCTGAAGTACAATACTGACAGTTACAGGATAATATCCATACACCTACAAGGAAGACCAGTTAATACTACTATTATTCAAATCTAGCACCAACCACCAAAGCCAAAAAAGAGGAAATTGAAAATTTTTACCAACTTCTGCAGTCTGAAATTGACTGAACATGCAATCAAGATGTGTTATCACTGGTGACTGGAATGGAAAAGTTGGAAACAAAGAAGGATCACTAATAGTTGGAAAATACGGCCTTGTTGATAGAAATAATGCTGAAGGTCGCATTATAGAATTTTGCAAGACCAATGACATTTTCATTGAAAATGCTTTTTTTTTTTTTTTTTAACAACATAAATGACAGCTATACTCATGGACTTCACCGGATGGAATACACAGGAATCAGATTGACTACATCTGTGGTAAGAGGTGATGGAGAAGTTCAATATCTTCAGCCAAGACAAGTCCAGGAGCTGAGTGTGGAAGAGACCATCAACTGCTCATATTGCAAGTTCAAGTTGAAGTTGAAGACAATTAAAACAAGTCTATGAGAGCCAAAATGTGACCTTAATAATATCTCTCCTGAATTTAGAGACCATCTAAAAAATAGATTTGATGCACTGAACACTAATGACCAAAAACCAGAGAAACTGTGGGATGACATCAAGAACATCATCCATGAAGAAAACAAGAGATCACTGAAAAGACAAGAAGGAAGAAAAGACCAAAATGGATGTCATAAGAGACTCTGAAACTTGCCCTTGAGCAAAGAGTAGCTGAAGCAAATGGGAGAAATGACAAGATAAAAGAGCTGAACAGAAGATTTCAAAGAGCAGCTTAAGAAGACAAAGCCAACAATTATAATGAAATCTGCAAAGACCTGGAGCTGGTAAACCAAAAGGGAAGAACATGCTCAGCATTTCTCAAGCTGAAAGAACTGAAGAAAAAATTTAAGCCTTGAGTGGCAATATTGAAAAATTCTATGGGCAAAATACTGAATGATGCAGGAAGCATGAAAAGAAGATGGAAGGAATACACAGAGTCACTGTATCAAAAAGAATTGGTTGATGTTCATTCATTTCAGGAGGTGTCATATGATCAAGAACCAATGGCATTAAAGGAAAAAGTTGAGGCTGCACTGAAAGAATTGGTGAAGAACAAGGGTCCAGGAATGGACAGAATAACCATTGAGATGTTTCAACAAATGGATGCTGCACTGGAGGCACTCACTCAGCTATGCCAAGAAATTTGGAAGACAGCTACCTGGCCAACTGACTGGAAAAGATCCATATTTGTACCCATTCCAAAGAAAGATGATCCCACAGAATGTGGAAATTATCGAACAATATCATTAAAATTGCATGCTAGTACAATCTTACTGAAGATAATTAAAAAATGGTTATAGCAATATATTGACAGAGAACTTCCAGGAATGCAAGCTGGATTGAGAAGAGAACGTGGAATGAGGGATATATTGCTGATGTCAGATAGATCTTAGCTGAAGAATACTAGAAAGATGTTTACTTGTGTATTATTGACTGCGCAAAAGCTTTTGATTCCATGCATCAGAACAAATTGTGGATATAATTGAGATGAATGGGAATTGGAGAACACTTAACTGTACTCATGAGGAACCTGTACATAGACCAAGAGGCTGTTGTTTGAAAAAAACAAGGGGACCCTGCATGGTTTAAAATCAGAAAGGGGGTGCATCAGGGTTGTATCCTTTCACCACACTCATTCAATTTGTTTGCTGAGCAAATAATCTGATCACCTGGATTATATGAAGAAGAACATGGCATCAGGATTGGAGGAAGACTCATTAACAACCTGTGATAAACAGATGACACAACTTTGCTCGCTGAATATGAGGATGATTTGAGGCATTTACTGGTGAAGATTAAAGACCATAGTCTGCAGTACGTATTACACCTCAATGTAAAGAAAACAAAAATCCTCACAACTGGTCAAATAAACACCTTCACGATGGATGGAGAAAAGATTGAAGTTGTCAAGGACTTTATATTACTTCCTTCTGCAATCAACACCAGTGGAAGCAGCAGTCAAAACATCAGATGATGTATTGCATTGGGCAAATCTGCTGCAAAAAACCACTTTCAAGTGCTGAAGAGCAAAGATGTCTCCTTGAAGACTTGTTGTTGTTGTTGTTATGTGTCTTCAAGTCGGATTCAACTCACAGTGACCCCTCCTTGGGTTTCTGAGTCAGTATCACTACGGATGTAGATTGCCCCATCTTCCTTCCGAGGAGTGGCTGGTGGATTTGAACCGCTAGCCTTGAAGACTAAGGTGCACCTAACCCAAGCCATGGTATTTTCAATCGCCTCTTATGCATTTGAGAGCTGCAAAATGAAAAAGATCAAGGAAGACTTGATGCTTTTGAGTTGTGGTGTTGGAGAAGAATGCTAAGAGTACAATAGACTGCTAAAAGGACTAACAGATCTGTCTGGAAGAAGTGTAGCTGGAATGCTCCTTAGAAGCGAGAATGGCCAGACTTCGTCTTGCCTACTTTCGTCATGTTGTCAGAAGGAACCATTCCCTGGAGAAGGATCTCATGCTCGGTAAAGTGGAGGTTCAATGAAGAAGGGGAATGCCCTCAACGAGATGGATTGACACAGTGGCTGAAATGATAGGCTCAGGCATAGCAAGGATCGTGAGGCTGGCACAGGACCGGACAGTGTTTCATTCTGCTTTGCATAAGGTTGCTGTGAGTCAGAGATGATTCAACAACATCTAAAAACAGCTACAACATTTTGTGTACATAAATTATGTCTCAATAAATGTATTTTAAAACAACAATATACACCTGCACTTACACATGTGTATGTATATGTATATGTATGTACAGGAGAAAGATGTAGCAGTTGGCCTCGGTAAAGATTTACAGCCTTGGAAACCCGGTTGAGCACTTCTACCCTCTCCTATACTGTAGTTATAAGTTGGAATTGACTCCATGGCAGAGGGTTTGGTTTTGATTTGGAAATTACATATATATATGATAGTTAGCATAGTGGCTAAGACACTTGAGTGCTAACCAGAAGGCTGGCGGTTCAAACTCACCAGCCACTCCTCGGAAGGAAGGTTGGGCAATCCTACTTCCGTAGTGATACTGCCTCGGAAACCCAAGGAGGGGTCGCTATGAGTCAGGGCTGACTTGATGGCACATAACAACAACAACATGATAGTTAAAGTTGTGTGTCAACTTTGCTGGGCCATGATTTTGAGTGGTATGGCTGTTGGATGTAGTTACTCCCCATGACATGATTGGATGTGGTGTAATCAATTCCATGGGGAATCTGCTGTGAGCCTTTAAATCAGTGGAAGGGGAATTACTTTCAGGGTGTGGTCTGCTTCCAGGATGTAAGGGAGAGCTTTGGGAAAGGTATCTAGCTTTTTGGCACATCTCGATGCTACATTTGGCTGAGTCTTCATCTCCATTTCCTGAACTTGAACCAGTGGCCTGCCATGTTGCCTGCTGATCTTGGGATTGTGCCATTTTACCTGCTGACCTTGGATTTGGCAACCTCAGCAGCCAGCAGTAGCTGTCTGAGTTAGGAGATGCCTTTGGCTCCAGTGGGCCTGGAATAAGAGGCAGAGCTGAAGCCCAGCGTCAGTGGGCCTTCACCCAGCCCTTAGCTCCAGCACTCTGAATTTGGATTTCTAGCCTCATGAACTGTATGAGAATAAATTCCTGTTTGTTAAGCCATCCACTTATGGTATGTCTGTTCTAACAACACTAGAGGACTAAGATTTTATATATATATATATGTTTTTGGTTTTTCACAGGTAACATTTGTCAAGATGTCCATGATCCCGAAGCACTTTGGACTAAAATACAAAGATGAATCATATATGCTCAAAGAGCTCGAGAAGGTTCGCAAGGAAACTAAAAAGGAATTTCTCCGATTTAAGCAGAAATTGGCCTACAAGGCAACCGTAGAGCAAGGTCTGGTTCACGGTCCCCAAGGTCTTTGTCAGACCAGCCCTGGGGAGAGGAGGCGCATTTCCCACGTTGGTTCCCAGAAGCCATTTGGTTCCCCTCCAGGTAAAGGTCCTGCGACGCCCCCTGCGGCTTTCCTGCGGAAGGCGCCACAGGGTTCAGCGCGCCCTCCCGGTCCTAGGGAGGCCGGCGATCTGGGGAAAACCCGACCATTTCGCCCCCAGGACTTTTACTTGCGGAGCTCTGCGTTCCTCAGGCACCGGCTCCAGAAGAAGCCTCCGGTTATCGCCCCCGGCGCAGGCACTTCGAAGCCCGCGATCCTCCTGCCGCCGCCTGCGCCCCCGCTTAAGCCCAGGGTGCCCCAGGTCCTGGGGGCTTCGCGGCCAGAGGCCTCCAGGCACGTTATCAACCTGGCCCGGGAGCGCTATGCGACACAGGCGGCAGCTATATTCGCCGAAGTCTGCAAGACCAGAGAACGGAAGGCCAGCTCCACGTCCAGCCAGGTTAGCGATGCTGGGTTGTTGAGCCGGAGGAGAAGGGTGAGGATTCGCACTCACCCCTTGCGCGAGTACTCGATGTGCGAGGTGCGAGAGACAGCCGAGTCAGACTTTTCCAAAACAAACCGGGAGATGATTGCACAGAGGAACGCGGACCAGCTGCCAGTGCGAGTGATCCCGACGTCCATAGAGGAGATCATCGCCTCCTTGCAGTCAGAGGCCCAGCTGGCCTCTGACCAGGCCATTAAAGAACTCATACAGAGTGTGCTTGGGCAGAACTACGACATAAAAATGGAAGTAGGTGACTGGAAATAAAGTAAATGTTACTTTAAGCAAGATAAACACACACACACACACACATACACACACACACACACAAATACATGTATGTGTGTGTATATGTATATGGGAGCTCCGGTGGTGTAGTGCCTAAGGTATGTGACTGCTAACCAGAAAACTGGTGGTTCAAACCCACCAGCCACTCCTTGGAAGGAAGGTTGGGCAATCTACTTC